AGAACACCAAACCAAGCCAATACATTTGGGGATTGTCTGAAATATTTAGACTTGGTTTGCGGCAGTGCGCCAGTGCCATCCGTTGCTGAAATTACTACTTGCTGGAATCCCAAGACATTTCCCAACGAAAAATAGGGCACCGGATTATGAGAATTGAGAAACGAGAGATCAAAGGATGGGAAAATCGATCATAGGTCGAAAATAAACTCGAAATTGTTCGAAACTCGAAAACTAAAATTTTCAACTTTCGCTAGGATATATATTTGTACTATGCATTTGCAAAGATTTATTAGATTTTCCACCCAGAATACGTTAAACCGAATCGATAATGTTACTTTACAGTTTATTTTCTAAAGATATTTTCTTTTCTTGTTTGCGAAGCATCATTTATTTATAACGCCACGATGCTTGCACTCGTCCTGTTTGCTCTTCGTAGAAAACATTAAAAGTAAAAAAGGAAAAAAGGAGAGGATAAAAATGGCGAGGTGCAAGCACCGCGGCGGGAGGGAACAGACTGAAGAATAAAGTTCAGTTTCTTTCTATTCTTTTGCGAGTCTCGAGTAGGTTCCTTCCCACGCATTCCTCGCCACTCGACTTTTAAAGCGCAGACGAGCGGCTTGAATTATCTCATTTTCCGTAGGAGTTATTAATTCACGTAATATGGTGCGAAAATCAGTGATACTACAAGATTTCGAATGAATTGCAAAATCTTAATTAACAAATTCTCGTAATTCTCTCATGATTCTATTGCTGTATTTTTCCTCAGAATTTAGAAGATGAAGATTATAAGATTACATAACTGTTGACAATTTTCTAATATCAGTGTTTATAGAAAAAGACAAAGATTATAAGACGGTTCTCTCCAAAACTAAGAACGTCACCACATCACCGTTCAGGCTGATCCACATTCGCTGACTCTATCTCCTTTATTCATCCTTTACCTAGTCGATTATTTTGCCTCTTCTCGTCCCGTTATATTAATACGATCTCAATTTAATTATCGTAGGTATCTATCCGCGCTTTCGCTGTCAGGTTGCCGCCTCATATTTCGCTGCTTTACGCGACGTTGTCCCAGTTTCTGGGCCGACCCGGTATTAACGTGAGATATATCGTCGCGTGTTGAACAAAAAGCACCGTTGATGTTATTCGTCGGTGTCTGCCTTTGTTCCGCGATAATATTTTATGTAAACGCTGAGCTCACGCGTCTTCTCTCCTTTCTCTCTCTCTCTCTCCTTCCCTCCCTCCCTCCCTCCCTCCCTCTCTCTCCCATTTGATGCAAATGTTTTATCTCTCTACCGCGTAAAAAAATTTTTTTAAACATGAAAAATTGTGTCGATATGAAAATAGAGTCGATCGCGGCGCACCAGCTGTACCGATGTATGCATTTGAAGAGAACCACGTAAAATTCTATTTAATAACAACGTATCTCGTGGATCAGTTTCCATTATGGCGGAAATATCATACGTTGGACTCCCATCAATCCCTCATTGGTGGACTCCGCGCTTTTCGAACGAAGTATAAAAGCTGAAATATAGACCGTTTTTTTTTTTATTTGATTACCACAACGGACGACTGCACTGTGCGGCGCATAGTTCGAGAACAACTTTATTGGTGAGTGCACCCTTGCAACAAACGGTATCGGAAAATGTTGCGAAAGCAGCGTTGTAACGTACTGTAAGCGGTGAATAATAAAAATAGTTGATAGTCGTAAGAGCCTATGATGTTATGTCGGTGCATACCACGGTATTCAGTCCTCCGATAGTTTTCGCTGGATAGCAGAAAACTAAGTCGCAGCAGTTTATGGGCCTTCATTTATCGTCATGTGTATAACAGTTTGTCGCTTTTCGACGTGCCATATTTTCTTTTCGTTTATATTTTATTGTACATCTGTTTTTTTTTATGCATCTTTTAAAAATTCTTTTATCGCCTGTCTTGGCTCGTCTTATGCCGTCTATTGTCCGCTAAAGAGAGCGTCAAGTTTCGAAATTGTACAAACACTTCAAAATAGCGTTGTAGTATTTGGACAAAATGCACAAAGGGGACAAAAACCAATTTTGAGAAATATAATAGAATGTAAAAGGAATAGAAAGTAAAGTGAATGTAGGTACTTTAACGTCTTCATATTTCGAATGCTTTTGTTACTATTTTTATGTATGATTTTACAGGCACGATTAGATGA